CAGTAAGTCCCGGGGTCCGTCCTGGAGGAGGCATCGGTCAGTAAGGGCCGGGGTCCGTCCTGGAGGAGGCATCGGTCAGTAAGGCCCGGGGTCCGTCCTGGAGGAGGCATCGGTCAGTAAGGCCCGGGGTCCAGTCCCGCGGCGGCGGCTGAGCCGTGCGGCTCGAGGGCGAGGCGCCGCGTGGACGCCGCAGGACGGCCCCTGCGAGCCGACGTCGCCGCGCCGGAGGAACGGAGCCCGGCGTCGCCGTGATTCCCGCAGGCGGTCGGAGCCGCCCTCCCGCCCTCCGCGGTTCCTGCAGAGCACTGGCCGCGGTCTGTGGACCCAGCGCTCATTTGACAGTCAGCAGGACTGAGCCTGGGGCTGCTTACTGACTGCCGCGCAGCTGGCGCTGGAAAAGCAAAATGAAAAAGCGAACCCTTTAGCTCTGGAACAAATGGCACACACACAACGCGCTTTCGCGTGACTGGGAAGGCACGGCTCCGCGGCCGCCGGGTCAGCTCCCGCCCGCTGTGTCCCTGCTGCTCCCCGGGTGCTGAGAACAGTGCCCCCCACGCCCGGAGCGCTCAGTACGTCTTTGTTGAACGAAGGAACGAACGAAGGGCCGAGCAGCGCCTCCAGCAGCACCGCCGGCGCGGGCCCAGCGGCTCCAAGGGCCCGCCCGCCCGTGCGCCTGCGCAGTGTGTGCCCGCCCCGCGTGCCAACGGGCGTCCGCCCCGGCTTCGCCTCGCTAGGTTTGAGCCCTGCCGGCCCCTGTAGCCGCAGGGCCGTCGCGGCGTCGCGGCTTCCTCCTCCGCGTTCCCACGCCTGCGGAGCTGGGCTCTTTCCTTCTACGTCAGCGGCTGGGCCGTGGAGATGGCGGCTCAGAAGATAAATGAGGGGCTGGAGCACATCGCCAAAGCTGAGAAATAGTGAGTGAGAGACTCTGGTTTGCGCCTCTGTGTGGGCCCTGGGGCCGCCCCCTCTCTGGTTCGGGCTTAGCGCCCGGGAGTTGGAAGGAGGGCCCGAGGGGGGGGCGGGGGGTGTTGG